AATTATATTTAGCCTTTTTGGTGATTGCTTCTGATTTTGTGCAACACAAATGCACTACATAATAAAAAAGCAGTGTTTGCACCATCTTCACATGGTGAGCAACACCAAAAATACCAAGACTGCCCGGGTAATCAGTGTGGTTATCTTATGTTAGTGATTTACTGCACACAGCTGTGTCAGGCCTTTCGATCCAAAGCTGCATATTTCAATTACTACGCTTCGCCTTCTTCCGATTTATACGTGCCGTGCAAGAACAATTAAAGTAAAAATAAATTTTGAGTTATTTATTTACTGTTTTTGTTATTTTTAGGTCACGATGGAGAACCAGGACCTGACGGAGCGCCAGGAATCGATGCACCGCCTGGTGCAACACCGCATCCCGATTTTTGCTTTGACTGCCCAACAGGCCCACCAGGCCCAGCAGGACCACCGGGACCAAAAGGCCCACCTGGTCCAATTGGACCTTCAGGCTCCGGTGGAAAACCTTCGCTGCCTGGACCACCTGGACCTCCTGGACCGCCAGGAAATGTTGGTGCTCCCGGACCGGCCGGGCCGCGTGGACCACCAGGCCCACCAGGAACGGTTATTGAAACAGCCGGCCCACCAGGACCTCCTGGACCAGCCGGCCCACGAGGACCACCGGGACCAATGGGACCGAAAGGGCCTAGCGGTAAAGTTGGCGCTGCTGGTGCACAGGGTCCACCAGGCGATCATGGAAAAGATGGTCCTGCGGGTAAGCCAGGAGGACCAGGTTCACAGGGTATGGCTGGACAACAGGGCCCCAAGGGTAGTTGTGACCATTGCCCACCTCCGCGAACATCTCCTGGATACTGAGAACATTTTTTGCTTATTAATTAGAATTTTTTTAGCTCCCTTCATTCATATTGGCTGCTTGTCTTTCATTTAGTGTGATGATTAGTATCAAAGATTTTCCGGTGAAAAGATTTTTTTTTCTTTTTCTTGAATGTTTTGAACAAGAGTATAGCCAAGACTTTTCCGGCATGAGATGGGCACATTTGAAATTGTTAATATGTAATAGTTTTTTGGGGAAGCGAATTAGCGAGTGCTTAATTACTCGAATTTTAAATACTCGGTACTTGAAAAAAAGCCAGCTGTTGTTAATAAAGCATGAGCTATGCAAAAATTTTTATTAAATAAAAAATAAGCGAGCATAAATATTCTTTTTTTTTATTTTTTTTAAGAATAAGTAACTATGGCAAAAAAAGTTGAAGTCGCCAGCAAACTGACCACTAGCATCATTGGTCAAGACAGTCGCAAAAATGTTAGCTGATATTTGC